TTTTGAGAAATTATAAATTTGCCTTTATTCCTGATGTACCTTTGATGCAATAAGAACTTACTTTCTATGGTAACATTTTCCCATTGTTAATTTGCTGTGTGAATAGTTGATTATTTGTGCTAATTTTATCACCACTTTGCTCAGTTATAACTCAGCATATGTTCCATACTATTCCCTGGGGAAGGTGACTGTGATTACATCACTGTCAAGTGAACATAAATATAACAAAAATGAATTGGAGACAACCAATTTTTTTTTGAGGTTTGAGGTTTTCTTTTTTTGTTTTTTTTTAATTCATCAGTAATAGAGGAAAACACAAGAAATTTAACATTGAAAACAGACTTCAAATTTCCTATTCATTAGGAGGAACAAAAATTGTCATAAAAACATTAGATTAAGGAGTCATTTTTCTTAGCAAAAACAACTATAAAATTTCAACCAGCTTTACCCATCATTCCTCTACTTTTCAGAAAAAAAATATGGAAGTTGTTAGTTCATATGTAATATGAACAAAACATAAGCTTCCATTTATGATAAGTAAAAGATTAGTTTTTCTTTTCTGCTTTTAATTCTTCTGTAATTCTGCTCCTCTTGTGCCTGTCCAAGGCCAATTGCTCACATTCCACAAAATATTACTTTTTTTTTTATTTTACAAATAGGAGATTGTTTTGTCAGGGAAAAAAAAAGCAAAGGACATGAAGGAAAACACTGATATTTTATACGCCAATCTCAAAAATAAAATGTTCCAAACATGTATTTCTTTCCCTTTTTAACTTCCCCTTCTCTCCAAAAAATGGAAGACTAAAGGAAGCCTTGTTTAGAATGTGTCTTCTGTTGAACTCAAGTATATTTTATTAATCAAAGACTGACAACCTGCTTCACCAAATGAATCTGAGGCATATCAGGCTTTCCTTCATAACTCCACTCTTCTGAAGAGAAAAAAACTAAAAAAGAACAGAATTCTTCAAGAGGCACTCATAGTATTTGCTATGTAGGACAATGCCTTTTTTTTACCTCTCTGTATCAGCAGTTCCTGGAATATTTCCCCCAAGGTTACAAAAATGCAAGTCAGAACTCAGCCTGGCATCTCTGACATAAAAAACTTGTACTCCTTCTGCCAGTATAATACTGTGCCACTATATCACCTCTATGCAATGACTGACCAGGATATTTTCTACATCTATTCTAGATCTACAGATAATGGGTAATTACCACATTGTCTTCCAGCATTTTAATGTCTTTTTATCAAAGAAAATTCTGGAAGGTTAATATATCCATGTGCTTTTTACTTATCTCTACTCTTTTTCTTAGTAAAATGCCATTCCCAAATCATGGTTTCTGCTTCCTGGGAGAAAAAGATAAGTTCAGTCAAAGCTCAAATGTAATGGAGTAATCAGAAAGCAAAAAGCTAATGGTTATTTCCAAAGACACTTATTTTGTTCCCCTAAGCAATACCGCAGGCTCAGATGCATTAACCAAGGTTAAATCAGCCATGATGTCTGTATGTTCAATTATGCATAGCCTGAGCCAGAGACTCAGTCTGAGCCAATTTTCTACAAAGCTATGCCAGTTTACACCTGTCAGAATCTGACCATGTCTCAACCTAAACCTACCAGATCTTTTTTTTTGTACATAGCTGCAGACTGTGTCATAAAAAAATAATACCTGAATAATACGATGATCCAAAGACAATAATTTTTTTCTTAAAATAGCTTGAATGTGATTTTTATAGTATCTTATTTCACAGTTTAACCCACTCTTCTGCAAGGCTTTAGTCCTCACATACTCTCATGTATGTGAAAAAGTGGGTTACTTCACATGTTACATGCCCAAGCGTTGTTCAGGTCAGTGTTTGACAAGAGTCCAACAGCTCTTGGAGCAAATACGCTCAGCTATGGAAATTGCTATAGGACAGAAGGGAATAATTTTAGGTGGCTATTTACATGGGAAGTGGAAATACATTAATAAATTTATTAAAAGAGTTTTATAGGTTTCAAACTCATTAAGCTTACAGACAAGAGCATGTTTTATCTGTTGTAGAATTGATAAAAATGTCCATATTAAAGACATTGGAAACATAAATCACCTAATCACAACTATATCACAGAATGATTTATCTCTAAAACTGAATAGACAAACAGGAGTGAAAGGAGAATTTTTTTTTATTATTAAAGTTTGAGGGGAGCAAATTATGAAAAGATGTCTCAAATAGCAGCTTTCAGCCTGGTGTTCAGATCTCAGCTTTAATCCACAAATGATAGTGCAATAGCTCAAATTGTAATTTAACTGCTCATATTAAAAATATCACATGTATCAACACAAAATAATTTTCAAAATATTCCTCTTAAAAATACTGTTCAAAATAAAGAACTGAAGCTTTTCTTCATGTGTTTATTTTTCTACTTTTCCTTGTTTCAAAATTCCTAATTTCATAAAACACTCTCTATTATAAAATTTTTAAGAGTCTTGTCAAAATAAATCAAATACTCACTTTTTAATTACATGAGATATCTAATCACACAGCTGAAGCAGAAAACATTTTATTTCAGATTTCTGTTTATATATTCACATATAGTACTTATTCTTTCATTCATTTAATTTTAATTATACATTGATATAAAACCATCCATGGGATATGTTATGTAGCATGAAAATGATCCTTTGGGCAGTTATTTTAGCAAGGAAATATTGTCAGTTAGTATCAAGGATTAATATGTATATCATACATACTTTATTTTTGATTATTATGCATATCGTACTTTATTTTCTGTGACAGTTCCCCAGTCCTTCATATACATATCTGGGTAGCAAGCATAGTTTGAGTTATTTCAATTCCATTTTGATAAGCTAACTATAATTCCAAATGAATATTATTTATTGACAGGAATGGGATGCCTTTTGCTATTAAAGAAATGAGATCTGAATCCAAGAAAATTTAGGCTTTTCCTTGGAACTGTCTTTGTATGGCAAAGACATTTTACTGCCTCAGGAAAATACTGTCATTAAAATCACAATAGGCATTAAAAATTTGGAATCACCAGTCTTTTTTACATTTTGCAATGCCCAGTTTGATTCGTGCTTTTAAGATAAAATTTTTCAACTGAATTCATCACATGCAATTATCAAACTTATAATTCAGTGCCGTTAATTACTAATGCTCCTCAATTTCATTAATATTACTATTAAATTCTTCTCTCAAAAATAATTAATGTATGAAATTTTGGCTGAATCTTATATTAAGTTTACCATTTTGTAATTTATTTTTATGAAGTCACACTTTACAACTGTCAAAATGAAAGATGATTCTGAACTATGATCTGTTTTCACTTTCACTAATATGATTAAACTACAATACATTAGTTACATACCCATAGGATTTTGGGGATATTTTTTCCCAAATTATTGCAAAAATTCAGTATCCCAGAACTGGAAGACATCACGAGAAGTGTCATTCCTGACAGGTGTTTGTCAAACCTGTCCTTGTGGACCCTAAAGAAAACTTCTCAGCAGTCACCTTCCTCTTTGCTCATTACTGATGAAGAGCAGTACACAGTAATGCATGGAAGAGTATTATTAAGAGATTACTAATACATTTTACCTTTCCCTGATGTGATGACCCTTGTTAGTTTCCTGGAGCCCATAATAACATGCATCTAGAAGCAAACTGTTGCCAAAAGCGCTCAGTCTCTAAATACTGCCAATGTGCAGTTTATATTTCTGTTTTGTCCCAGATACCACCATGGCTGAAAACCTTTCTCACAGGAGCATGTGGAAAAAGAAAAAAATATTAAGTATTTCAAAACCTATTTATTAAGGTAATTCATTCAATTACATCCAAACAGATACACATGAAATTCTGTGAAGACATTAAGTATTTTTTAGTAGGGAAACTCTAGAAAAGAGCTTTTTTTTCCTTTTTCTTGTTTTCTCTTTTATTCCAAAACCACAGAGAGTGTGAAGAAAGTACAGATGTTACTGGATCTGTCTTTAGTGGAACATATTTATGTAGTGCTTTAGAAGCACAAAGCAGATCTGTTTGTTAACGTTAGGTCAAACCAGACATCAGCCAACATGGAGTCACATACAAGAAGATCTGCGCGTGGAATGAAACAAAGGAATAGATAGTAGGTAGGCTTCAGTGTCCATCACAGCTCTTTCTCCCTGAAAATTATGTCAAGAGGAGTTATTCTCTTTTGTTTTCTTTTTCTTTTTTTTCTTTTTTTTTTTTTTAAACCCCACTATTCTACAGACTATGGACTGCTACCCAGAAGCTGGAATCTCCAGATACAGTATCACATCTCTCCTATTAGGCACACACTTGGACACAGTCGAAGAAGTGACAATTAAACTTTACAGAACACAAGAGGCAGGTGGAAAAAAGGAATGAGGGAAAGATGAATTAGTTTCTTTACAGAAGTGTTTATGTCCACATGAAGGAGAATGCTATATTTTAAGAAGGGTTAACGGAACTGAAAATGCTGACTGAGAACACAGAGCCAGCAGAAGGGAAGAAAAAGCAAGGGGTCCAACAGCTGAACTGCTGCAGAACAAGGGAAGCCTACAAGGGGACAGGTACCTCAAAGTGCCTCCTGTCTTTAAATATAGCAGACAAATCCAACATCCAGACCCATTTCTTGTCTTCACAGTACTATCAGAATTTGTGCTGCTGTATGAGGCCTTTGAGCCTATTAATATCTCCATATTATACTGTCTGTGTCTGGCTAATGTCTTTTCCTCATAGTATTGTCTGTCTTAGCTATGTAGACTAGATAAAATCATTTGATTTTTAGTTGAAACATGTCATAGCTGTATTAATGCAAAATTTTCTCAAATGTGATTCTATTATCAGCAGCCACGAAATATATTTAATCCTTCTACCCTTAAAAATAAAAGTATTTTCTTGATAATTTCATGTTTCTGTTCTTTTTTAATACTGACTCAGTCTTCTAAGTACTTCCACAGTCATGATTTAAAAAAAAAAATTAACATTTTCTACAGCTGCCAACTGCATATGGCTTCTCACCTGCAAGTTCTCTTGACTGGTAGCTTTGTCACTTTTGTGCAGGTTATAAGTAGACACCTGAGAAAGGAAAACAGGGAACAAGAAAGAATGTTCTTTACTGTTTAAGGAAAATTTTTCTAAGATCATAATTATTAATAAAAATCTAGGACCTGTAGACCAGGGAAATGTCTTAAATTTTGGGTTACTAGTGTTGTTTCTCTTCCAGGACAAATATAATGACATTTCATTTCTGAGAAAATGCAGTTAAAAAAAATCAAGTTTGTATAATCTTTGATAATTCCTCTTGGCTTTGCATTATGATAACTTGTGGCATGTCAGCAACATCAGTTTCCCTAAGCTCTGCAAAAACTTAAGCAATCAAGAGGATTTGGAGTACAGTCAAGCCACAGAATATCATATTTCCTGGTGGAGTCACACCCACTCATTTTGCAATACTCAACATTTTAACAACCCCATTAGTGTTACCTATTCACATTAACACAACTTAAAGACAACAGCAAAAAATATTTTGGTAACAGAAAAGGTGACATTTATTCAGGATAAATTCATATACTACCATTTTAATGTGATTCTTAGGCAACAAATTATCCACTACTATTGTTAAAATAATCACATACATTCCCCTGTATTAGATAAAATAATTATCACTCTTCTTTTTCTAGGAAGTTGGTTGCTATAATGAACTGAGTAACAGAAAAGCCTGTATCACGAAAGAGAACATGGAGATGGAAAGTCTGACATCAAAATTAAAGAAGCAGGTTCCATGCTTGTTGCCTTCAAGAATGGCAAGGTCTGCTTAGTTTTTGTCGTGAGAATATTGCCACTTCTACTAATTCTTTTCAAAATGCAATACAAGCATCACATGGCAGTGGACTGGTAGAAGTGTTGAGGTGTAAGACCATAGCATGGATGGCATGAGAGGTGTACTTGACATGATGTGCCTGCATCTAGAAGTCATCAAACAGAGAAAATGTGGGATTTTGAGGACTGCTAGGGTGGCTGTGCTTAATCTTTCCTGGGAAAGGGAAAAGCTGGTAAGAGGCCTGTTCCCTGAAGCTGTATCTTGACCCTCTTTCTGAGTACACGTATGAGAAAGGTGTCTATGTGCTAAAGCATCTCTGTTTAGCCTTGCTGATGTGTTTATCTATGATAAAAAGGAACTATTTTTCAGAAACATGAACACAGGCCAGTTTTATCTTCAGATAAACTGTTACACACTGCCTAGCATCTGAACATCTTCAATGGTTGTGCTGGTTTCAGCAGGAGTAGAGTTAATTGTCTTCACAGTGGCTGGTATGGGGCTGTGTTTTGGGTTTGTGCCGAACACAGGGTTGATAATATAGAGATGTTTTATTGCTGAACAGGGTTTACACAGAGCCAAGGCCTTTTCTGCTTTTCATACTGCCGCACCAGCAAGAAAGTTGGGGGTGTATGGGAGGCTGGGAGGTAGCACAGCCAGGACAGGTGACCCAAACTGACCAAAGGGATATTCCAAATCATGTGACATCATGCTTAATATATAAAGTGGAAGGAAGAAGGAGGAAGAGGGGGGATGTTTAGAGTGATGGTGTTTGTCTTGCCAAACAGTCTTGTCAGGCTGTTCTGGAGATGGCCTGCCCATGGGAAGCAATGAACTAATTTCTTGTTTTGCTTTGCTTGTATGTGCAGCTTTTGCTTTCCCAATTAAACCGTCTTTATTTCAAACCATGAGTTTTCTGGCTTTTATCCTTCCAATGCTCTTCCCGGTCCTGCCGGGGGGGAGTGAGTGAGCTACCTTGTGGTGCTTGACTGCTGTCTGGGGTTAAACCTTGACGAATGTAAAATTGAAGTGATAGGAAGTATGATCTGTAGGTCTCCTGGAACCCACAGAGAAAGGGTAATGTAAAGATGTGTTAGTTAATTGATCTCAGTGTGTTATTCGGAAGAATATAAATATATTGAGGAAGAAAGCTTAAAGACTGTATTAATGCTGATACAGAGGAAATAACAAGGGGTGAAATTCATATCCCATGCCTTCATAATCAACAAGAGAGGAAATATATTCCATCAGTCTCCCCAAATAAATGAAATGACTCACCAGTGCAACCACCCCAAGCTCTTAGAAGCTTCCACCATTTCCAGTGCCTTCCTTCTTAGTACAGATTACCTTACTTTCCTGCATCTCTGCCAGTTCATCATTTACAAACCACTGTGTTTGACCAGAAAAACCTTTGTTCCACTACAGATTCAAGTTTTGTCTCGCATCCTGAGTCCTCACCCATTTTTGACTAGTATGTGAAAGTTGAAGTTTGGTAAAATAAGGACAGTAGAAAGTTTTGGTAAGCATGCAAATCTTGAGCAATCAGCTATAGATGCCAACTGTAATTAAGTACCAGATCACAAACAAACTGCAACCATTATGTTGACAGATGCTACGACAGACACAGGTTTCTCTTCATTCATCATGGTTTCCTGGGCACGCAGTAAATATCCATAGCTGTACTCAAGGCGTTCTGCTCTGTGCCCCCCATGCTCCATTACACTTTCTACACTGGCAGCAGAGGCACTTTTATCCACAGAAACACCGTCAGGCTGTAGCTAGGCCAATTGCTCACAGTCAGCCCCCATTTTCTTTGGAAGAGCTCTGCCTGTGGGGAACAAAATATGCAGCAACATTATCAAATTCAAATGATTCTTGTTTGTCTTGGTTTTCCAACAGTCACATTCTGACTGGCAAAAGTTAAAGCAGTTTCTTGGCTCTCATTTCCCACTGAAATGAGCATTCAAGTGACTTGAACAATACTAATAAATGAAAATAATAATAACAATTGTTAAACAGTAATAATAAATGTAAGGGAAAAGGAATTGTCTTTGTGTAATGACTTTGTATGCTCAAATCATGTCTTATATGCAGAGGCTGAAATAAGTGTTATTGCAGAAGCCCACAGAGGGACCCCTTCCTGTGAACATCTTGCATGTTTTCTGAAGCTGGGCTGTTGTCAGAAAAGTGATAATGTTAAGACAAAACACAGAAACATGAAGGAGAACCTAAAGAGAAATGGGTATTTTAAAAAGCTACAAGGACCTGGAAATAACTGGGGGGAAAAAAAAGGGGGATAAATCAGAATATCACAAGCATCCAAAAAAACTGTTCTCTTACTTCTTTTCAAGAGTAATTAGACTGATCATTTTCTGAATTTTATAATTTAAAAGTTGTACAGAGACATTTTTATATGCCCAGCACAGATATTGGGAAAGCATTATAAAGCCTCTAAATATAACAATGAAAATAAAAGTAAATTTACTTGTATATAGTAATAGAATATGATGTATGTGCACAAATAACCTATGGTGAGAGACCGATAGTCTCTCGGTCTATCTCAAAGAATTGCGTCAGTATACAAAGAAGCAACTGTATACAAAGAAGAAACTGCCTTTTCACTGAAGACAAAAGAGTGGGGGAATCATTTTACTCTAAGATTAATTTTCTTACTAAGGGAAGGAAGGACATGTATTTACTGTCACTCATGCTTCATCCAAAACACTTTGACAAAAAATACATATTCCCTGATTTAGGAGTCTGCCAGTTAATAAGCTGCTGTGATGTTAAGTTCTTGTGGTTTTGCACTGATGCTGTTAAACAAGTAGCTGCACCATAAGCGATAATCCAGGAAACTCAGACTGTTTCTGTTTGCATGTTTATTTTTTACGTTATAAGTTAGGCTCAATATAATCCTGCCTTTGTGTCATTAACTCTACATCAGACAGTCATAGATCATAACGCAGTATTCTTTGCCACAGTTTGCACTGAGGATTACTGCTTTCAGCATCCTGGGACAAAACAATGACTGAATGGGACTTCTCTTTTTGTCTGAGGGAAGGTCATTGCAGTCACTTCTGTTTAAAATTCTAAAACGGGCATTTAAAGTCAAGATAGAAGGGGAAAAGTGTTACATCATTTAACCAAATATCATATATTTTCCACCCCAAAACATGTTTGGCTTTATCTAGGGAACTCTCACCTCTGATAGCAGCTGTTGTCTTGGCATTGTGCCTGTAATAAAGGAAAAGAGGTGGAAAGAAGGACAGAAGGTAAAAAAAAGGGGAAAGTAAAAGAGAGAGAAAGGGGAGAAAAAAAAGAAAAGAAAAAAGGGAAAAGAAGGAGAAAAAGAAAAAGAAAGAGAAAAGGAAAAAGAAGTAAAATAAAAAGAAGAAATATTTGTAAATGGTTTAGACATGTAGTTTATGCATTGGTGAATGGTTCTTTATGCGTAATATTTATGGGGTATTTGGTTTGTTTTGTGATTTTGTTTCAACTTTTAAGGAGTGCCATTAATGTGATTAATTAACAAGAATTTATTGACTAAAAAATCTGCACAGCCAAACATATGTAATTTTTAAAATGTATTTTTTCAGGTGAAACTATAAAATAGGGTCCTAATTAAGCCCTTCTGTTTCCTGAGATTTTGTGTGCACTGCGCTGAGAAGGAAAGTTATATGGAACTTTACTTGATCATGGAAGAAAAATCTGGAGAGTAAATTCAAGCATTCTATTCAGTTCTAAAATATAGTCTTCACTTGAAGGCTACAGTGAATTTATGCCCACGTTAAACATTAAAGCTCTGTTATGGGGCCAAATAAGGGGAAAACTCAAATCAGCTCAAACATCATGAGCATAGAACTTCAGCACCACTGCAGCAGATACCACTAGCACTACCACATTTACTCTGAAATGCTGTGATTGATCACAGAATTTGTTATTGTGACATTCTATTACACGCATTCTCTTCCCATTACTTTGCTAAATTGGGAAGCTTATTTTCCATAATGCAAAACAATTTGTAATAAGCATAGTGTATTATAGAAGGAATTTGAAGCCCTGGAATTTGCTTTGCAGGGAGCTGAAACTATACTCCACTGAGACCTTAACCCACTTCAGAGGGAAGTTCTTTATAAAAAATGGGGGAGGTTAGGGTGTTTAGCATAATCAGTGATTTGCACAAATTTCTAACAGAATCTAGGTTTGTGTCTCCTTTGAGGAATCTGCATAGTTAAGACTCAGATGTGCAAGTACAAAC